TGTTTTTTTTTTTTTATTTATCTTTTGATTTCTTCTCTTTCACTTGAACAAAAAAGTGGGGACGGGATTCTCTGTCGGACGACGCTTCCCAAAATGTCTCTGAGCCCCCGCGATTCGTCCCGAGCAGTCGAGAGAGAGAAAGAGAGACAGGTCGGGTCCTCACCGCCAGGACCGACTCAATTCGGTTCTTCGAAGAGAGAGAGACAGGCAAGAAGAGATAGACAAGAGAATAAGAAAGAGATAGAGAGAGAGAGAGAGAGAGAAAGAGAGAGAGAGAAAGAAAGAGAGAGAGACAGAGGGATGAATGATGCTCGAGGATAATCACAAAATAATAGAGACACGCCGAGAAGAGAGGATTCGAGGCGGAGAACTCGTGATCGGGGCCGGATCTATAATAAAGTGGTCTTTTTGAATCCAACGTTAAAAAAAATTGTTTTTTTTTAAATAAAGATAAAAATTGGGAATAAGCAGATCGATTATCGATTATCTTATTTTTGAAGTATTTTTCTCTCGACTGCATATTTGCAAGCTAAATTAATATAGAATTTGGAATATTTGAAATATTTCTTTAATTTAAGAAAAAAATCAAATAGACATTGTGAAAAATTCACATAAGTTTACGAAAGGAATTCCAAATGCCTTTCATTCGCACGCAGTTTCAGCTTCAAAATTCTTCCTAATTTTCCGCTTCGCATAATGTAGAACCGAGCCCGTTCACGAGAGTGACGGTGAAGTCGTGAGAATAGAAGAGATCGAGGCGCAGTGGTGGAGGTGTAAGTACATTCAGCCTCGAGACGGGAAAGACGTTTCCCAGCGTGTACGCGGGAAGATTCGTGGTGCGAAGTAAACAGATTTCTCGGATGCTTTTCGATTGTCGATCGCGATTCGAGCCGGTGCTCACGCAGCGCCGAAGCGCGCGCGTCTTTTATCCCCCCGCATGAGGGGTGGAAGGTTGTTACTTTTTTTTTTCTGTTAGTCGCATTTGCGAAGGGCAGTTAGCGAAGTGTTAGTCCGCGAGGATTTATTTCTGTCGAGGTAGATTGGCGTCGGTGACGTCGTTGTCGTCCCCGACAACCCCATCGGGTCGCCAGTTACGTCGCGCAGTCATCAAACGAACAGACACATTCACATCCAATCTCAAACTGGCAAGCAAACGAGTGACGGGTGATCACTACCGATCGTCAAATTGGCGAACACTTAAGAAAAAATCAAACAGTTTCTCGAGAGTGGAAATGCTTTAGACTCTTCGCGTTTCAGATTATTTTCCCAAATCATAAAACTGTCGAAACACGATTCGTATAATAAATTCTTCTACTTTCATTGAACATAATACATTTAAAATAGCTTGATCTTTCTTTAGGTTTTTGTCTGAATTTGCTTTTTAATCGCCAATTATTGGTCGATAGTGCAAGTAGGTTAATGAGGAGGTAAATAAGTAATCGGTTGTACAGGGAGATCAGTTGATAAGCGGACAAGCACTTAAGCGCTGTCTACGTTTGTCGAGTATGTACGGATAAAATACTATTTTCATGTACATCGGCGTACAATCGTCATCCTTCCGGAATAATGGAATTGGTCATTTAATAATTAAGTAATTCAGTAGATAATTATCGCGCTTGTCACACGAGCTGCAATAATTTAACGCAAGCAAGATATAGAAAATTTTTGATCCAGTACTTGTCATTATATTAAAACAGAATATTTCTTTTATTTAACTAATATTATTTCAAACTAACAAAAAAATATAATATCAATGGCTTTAAATGCCCCAATTTATGAACTAATTATTTAATTAATATTCAATTTCAAGAATATTTATTTTTTTAAGAATATTCAAAACTTATGTCGCGATCCACACTTTGAACTTTGCTTTCATTTTTCATTCCTGCGTCGCAGCTCATATCACCGTCGTTTAAGAGACGAAGAACACCAGAACACTATTCTAAGTTGCGAAAATAGTACTTTCAATCCGCTATAGATGGTTGTAGGAAAGAAGCGGTAGAAAGCGAGACCCCTGTAAATATTATGATGTGTATAACCCCTGTACGAGAAAACGTACAACGTGCCATTCGCAAACCATCGCGATATCCCGCAGAACAGAATCTCCATCTTCGCGGTTATCCATATCCTTCCCCCCTACCCACCCCTTCCCAATCACATCGCGAGCATCGCGCGTTAAGTACACCGTAGCCCTCGAAATTCGGCAGTAGCCCGCGATTTGCGAATGTCGCGCCTTGCTCGTGTGTGTGTCGTCGGCGCGTTTCGACTTCTTTGAGATCAGATCAAGTCCGTCGTCCCCATTGAGCGAGTGATAAAAAAATATCCGGCAGAGAGGACGCGGTGGAAGGAACGGGATAGAGAGAGAGAGAGAAAAAGAGTAGTAATTGAGAGCAAATAGAGAATTCTGTGGCCGGAACAAGCAAGGTCGCGGTAAGTACGTCCTCGAGAGAGAAAGAGAAAAGGATAGGGAAACAGTGATGGCATTTTCAGAAGAGGCACATGAGAAAAAAGAGCACGTGGACGGGGATTGTGGACGATATTTCTCTCGTCGCTTGACGATCGAGCGAGATCCCGTACGAGCGTACGAGGGCGAAAATCTACAAGGAGGAATATATACAAGTCCCTCTACATAGTAGAGGAAGTGAAGAATGAGTGGAGGCGTTCGAAAAGGACGTTGAATCGACGGACACGGAGTAAACGGAGAAAACAAGGAGAAAGAGTGGAAAGCTAACTTGGATAAATCGAGGGAAATAAACGACAGGCGAGAAACATGGAGAGGGACGGAATGAGATGATTATGCGGAGAAGAGAAAGACAGAGAAAGAGTGAAGAAGAACAAAGTCTTTAGATGCTGGTCTCGTGCACGAGCTTGGACAGCTCCGGTAGAACCAGGTTGTTGGAGCTCAGACGTAGGGAGTTCCCCGTGTTGTCTCGATTACTGCTCGTCTGCGCCGTATGATTGGGGCTCAGGGGCTGATTGAGGGCGTTACTGGAGGGGGTACGATTGTCGGTGATGGTGTTGGTGTAATGATGATTGTACGCGTTGGCCGGTCCGGTTACGCTCAGCAACAACGGCGAGGCGGGGCTGTTGTGGGACTGTTGCATCCTGGAGGATCCTCTGTAGTTTGTCTCGTAATCCTGTCCCGTCATCGGCTCGGCACTCTTATTAGAGGACTTGTAGGCGACGTTCTGCGCGGTGGTGGTGGTGGTGGTGGTGGAGGTGGTGGTGGTGTTTGTCGGGTCTTCGTCAATGTATGTGAAGTCAGAGAGTGGTCGGGGCCCGGTGTGGCTGCGTGAACTGCGCATACTGTGTAAGCTGTGTAAACTATGGACAGAGCGACGCTCCTCCAGATCTTCCAGAGTCGACTTGAACGCTCTGATTACTCGAAGCTGCAAAAACAGGGAAGGACGTTCTATCAGGAAGCGAGGAGGCAAGCCAGCAACACACAAGCACGCCGTATATTCGTATTCGGATATTTTTTTTTCGCGCGGTGGTGTGTCATGTTGTATCCCCCTATTTTTTCAGTGTCCCCCGTGTCGGCGTACTCTGGTCTTGTCGTTGTTCTTGTAGATGTTGTCGTGTTTTATAGCTTAGATGTACTTTTATTTTCGTTCGTTGACTTTTTAAAACGCGAATGTCTCTTTTTTTTTTTATTTATTTGTTGTTCCTTTATTTTACGTCTGTGACGTAAGTGAGTCTCTTCGCTTGTCCACTTGGTTGCATTTCACCCGAATTCGTGAGCTAAACAGAACTGATTGATTAGATATACGAGGGAGCGGAATGTAGTAGATTCGATTTCCCTCGCAATCTCGCTGTACCATGGATAGTGCAAGATAGTATCGGGCTCCGTTACCGACGTCGCATGCGCAATCTACTTCACTTCTTACCTACCTACACGACGATTTAAGATTTGTGATGGAACGGATCATCGGATCGGGGACCAACGCGATCGAATGCGCGCGGACGTCCTCGGCAAACAAGAGAGCCTCCCATCGTCATCTCGGACATGAGTTTCAGCGTTTACGGAACGTCAACAATGAGCGTCATCATCCTTTGCGATCTAGGTTCGGCTGGAGTGATCGCGAACGAGGAGTAGACCGACATAGTAAACCATTGTCGGATAAAAGTAATGGCGAATGGAACTAATGAAACTCTCATCAATTTCCATCTACTTACCGCCAATATCCGACTTTAGCAATGTCAGTTTAAGCAATATTTCAATCGTAGTTAGTTCTAATTCTAAAAAAAAAATAATAAATCGCTTCAATCAGATTTAACATCAACTCACGCCGATGAAGATGATTTCGAATGGAATGAAATAATGGAATAGCCGAGATTCTTACATATTAAGAGATTAGTTCTTACCTTCAATCCAATTTACTCGCTGTTACTATATATTAATAAAAGAAACAATTTCCTAAAACTCCAAAATGTTAATTACAAAAATTACTCAAGTTATTCGCAAATTCCAATTTGATATAAGTCGAAAATCTCCTTATCAAAACCTATATCAACCTTTACCCATACAACCTTTACTTCACTTTTAGAATTTAAGGTGTTTTTTTTTAATCCTAACAATTCCTAATGTTATTAAAAATCTTTGCAGAAAGCGACGTCAATCAAGCAGCTGAAAACTTTTCACGAAGCGTTCAGAGGATCGACGACTACCCCTCATTAGCGATCGCTCCGCGATTGGTCTCAGCGCCAGAGGGAAAAGAGCGGGGTTTCGCGGCTGCGGGGGTTCCATTCGCGGGTCTCCAAACGGATTCGCAATAGTTACCCAATTAGGAATGGTCCGCAACAGTCCTGAACCGTTCGCGAGCGAGTAGCGCCGAAGCATTCGCACGCTTGTAACCGCTCCTCTACGGCTTGGAGTGTCAACAGAGTATAATAGGGGGTAAGACAGAAGCTCACAGAGACAGAGACAGACACAGTATGGTGATTGATATTTGGTATGGCACGAGTAGTAATAAGTAAAGCGAAGGAGCACTAACGGAGACAAGATATGCACGTTCGTGACAGAGAGACAAGGGATTGGTTTTGCTTCTCCTAAGTATAGCCTTCGCTGTGGCGCAATTTCACGCATGTAGTCAGTTAGACACACTGTGTATAGTTTCAAACACTTAACGTCCTTCTACGTAACTACGCAAGTTCCATACGCTGTGATCAGACATGTTTCTGTTGTTGAATTTCGAGAGACGATTCAAAGCAAGTGAAACAGTCTCTCGTCGTGGAAGTTTCATACTTAAAAATCCAGAGAAAATTGTGATCAAAGCCAGATCAGGTAGATACGATTATTCAGTAAGGAATGAAAGATTCCTCTCTAAATAAAATAACAAAAGATAGTTTTTTTCAAAGAAATTGTCTCAGATTCAATTTGAAGAGATTAATTTGTTCTTCTTACGAAATCGAGTTGAGTTTCGATCTGGCTCTGACTTGTTCGATGCGCGAAGAAGCATCTCTCTTCGAGTTCTCGCGATCGCAATCGCGCAATCGCAATTGCTCGATCGGCGAGATTCGATCTTTCCTTTTTCTCGCAACAACACAGATCACATGGTGTAACGTGTTAAATCCTCTAATTGGCACTCGGTACGAAACAACGGCGGTGTTAGACCTCGGGCAAACAGAAAATAAAGTCGATGCACAAATTGACCAACCGTGCACACGCACACACTCGCACACTAACAAAGAGAGGACGTGGAAGGGGGAGGAAGAATTCAAACCAGATGCGACGATTGTTATTTCCTTCCGTGGCTAATTTTTAATTTCTCAAATATCTCTCTCCAGAAATTTTTGTGGCTGCAAATATTTTTTCAAATGTTAAATTATTTAGCTTTTAATATGTTTAATACATTTTAATTAATATGTAGCCACGAAAGGATTATTTCTCGTCAGCGTCCGCTCGCCGACTCCGTCACTCACGAGAGGCTACGAACAGCCGACCGAGAGTGTTAAGAGAATTAATTGGATAACCTGAACTCGAGAGAGGTGTATTTTTTTTTAAATCGCGGAAAGACCTTCGCGTTTTGAATTCGTTCATGATTTCAGCAAAATTTTTCGCGCGACAAATACAAACTCCGAGTACACACATATAAACGTAAAATAATACATAAATCTTAGTAGAGTGAATCAAAGCGAATTACAGCCGATTGATTGAGCTTTTCGTTGAAAAATTTGATAATCTATCGATTTGTGTGTCTACAGAAACACTTAGGATCAAGGACACCGCCACGTGAGAGGAGAACTGTGCGCACGATGCAGCAATGCTACTTCATTCAAGTTCGCAAACCCTTCCTCCTACATCATAACAAAGCACATCACATCGGGATCTACAACTGACATGTTACCTCAATTTTCGAGGATTACTACGGAGACATCGATCTTCGACCTAGAAAAAAAAGTCAAAATCGAGGCCACCGGCCTCGTCCCTACCGCGCCGTAAAGAGAACGTAAGACCGTTCGATACTGCTGAAAGCGAAGAAAGCGCCTTTTGCAAAAACCAGACTTTTTCTTTTAGTGCCATATTCGAAATAATCTATAGCACGATCTATCATACCCACGATCATATCCATGAACGAACTAACCAACAAACGGCAATGTGCTACTAACTAAAAAAAAACGTAAAAAACATACGGTTATAAAAAAATAATTACGAGTAACACTTTAGATGTTCTCCGTGTCTTTTATGCGCCCGACATCGACACAAATCATCGCAACGACGATCATACACGTAGGGGCGACGAAGGGGGTTAACGGCGAAGGGGCGAGGGAAAAGGAGATGGAATGGAAGGGGGGATACGGAGACACACAGCACACTCATCAGACACTAGTCTACTGAGAAAAAGAAAGCGCGGGCGGGCCGGTGGATCTGCCGGGTAATAATCGCGGTACCCCACGACGCGGACGACGACGGGGGTGGCCCACCGACCGCGACCCACACCCCCCTGGCTACACAAAGAAACACACATTAGTGTGACGCAACACACTCCGTTCAATGTAATAGTAATATCCGTGCATTCGCGAATCGTCGCCGCCGTGAACATCGCACCGGAACACACTCGCGCGACGACAGTCCCTCGGCGAGATGGACGGGAGAGAGCGTCCGTATCGTCGCCGTTTACGTCGTGAATGAATCATTTATCAATCAGATGTCGGACGGTCTCCGCGGAGCGATCCGCGAAGCGGGGATTGAAAGCGTCCGGAGAATCCCGGAAACGTTCACATTCCGGTGCCGCGAACGAGCGCGGAAAACGTTCCTCGCGCACGTCCCTCGATTAAAATATTGAAATATTACACGGAATGTATAATATTAAAATATTAAAATATGAAACACACTTTCCATTCGCGGCGAAGACCATCTTCGCGCACGCTTGCAGCATCAGGAATGTGAACTGAAAAAAAAACGATCGGGCGACATCACGCCAAAATTTCATTTCAGATAGCTGGGATTCGGAGACAGAGAGATAAATAGAGAAAGACTCAAAAGACGGCGAGACGTTCCATCGTGCACGCACATGTGTTACGTACGTCGACGATCCGTCGTGTAATGACGAGTAATATTAAGTAAGGTAAATATATATGCGTAACACGCGCTTTGATGGCGGGTTTTGATGATTATAACAACGTATTATAATATGTACGGCAGGCGATTCATCTACATGAGCTACGTACTTGTTTGTACTCCGACAGGATAAGTGTGGCGGCGGGCAAAACGCTGCCGCCCCGTTATACCTCAGTCTCTCGAATGGGTTCCGCTGGCTAACAAATCACAAATTATAACCATCAGTCTCGTTTCTCGCTTTTCTCACCTTCGCTAATAAAACACTACTTTTCTGTCTTTTTTTTTTCCTAGCGCGCGCAATTAGCAACTCTTTTTTGCCGCGGATTGCTAATGATTCTTTCTACGCGTTTTTCTTCATTATCGTCTCTGGTGTATGTGTATGTATGTCCTTTATTCTTTTCTTTTCACTCCTGCGCGCGTGTCGCACACGTGTCGACGAATCAATTGACACATGGCGCGCGAGTCTCTCGGTTTTTTTTTTTCTTCGCGTTTCTCACCGCTTTTCACGCTGCAAACCTCCTGGTTTTGAAAGACAGCATAGAGGCGATTTCTCTGTCGAGTGAGAGTTTCGTGAGAGAGAAAGAGGAAAATTGAACACGAATAAAGTCGTGGAACACGGCGAAGTGCACTCGTCGCGATTCAAGTGTCGCATACTACAAATAATTAGAGATTCGGAATATAACCAGTGACTAACGAGCATTTCGGATCGTAAAGCGAACAAAGAGTCATAATCATCAGACGTTAGCTCTAATAAAAATTCAAAAAATATATATTAAAAGTCTACAATTTCCTAATTTTTTCCATGTTTAAAAATAATTGTCATGCATCGCTTCTATGTGTGTTTTTTGAATCATTTAATATTATATTATTCAGTCAAACACAAAAATATTAATGCTAATTACGCGAAAAATGCGATAAATCTGTTAGAAAAAATAAATTTTCAACTATTTATCATTCATCGAATTTTACTGGACTTTTCAGCTGTCGAGCGACACTTTCATCGAGGAAAGGCGAGACATTAGAATCCGTCGTCCGAATAAACCCGAATCGAGAGAGTCAATCGGTAAACCGAGTGCCGTATTAAATTTTGAGGAACAGACACAGATACGTGTGCATTGCATAATTGACGCGTTCGATCAAATTCGCGAGAAAAAAGAAAACTCGGCGTACAGTTCAGTAGGGTGTATGGGAGAATTGTGTGAGACGATAGAAATGCCAGATTGTCAAGAAACCGGGAGAACGCGCGGAACGGGCGCGTTCTCGCTGCGCGAGCGTGGAAAAAAAATTTTGCGAAACGGTCGCTTCGGCGAGCGTTGCCGCTCGCTCGTCGATAACAGAACGCACAATGCAATATATATGAGTAGACATATATATACATAAACACTGTGCACGTTGAAGCGCACTATATAATAAAATAACATGTCACACGCGCGCACACATCGATATACAACGTACGGTAATAACATCGTACATCACGTGTTAATCAATCAATCACAGCAATGCTCACACTGCAGTAATAAAAAAAAAATAAAAAATAAAAAAAAAGAAGAAGAGAGAGACGGACAAAAAGAAAAAAAAAAAGAAAGAAACACGCGAGACAAGGGAAGCGAATGTACACGGCGTGTGTATAATTAGGGCTTAGAGAAAAAGACTGACCGGCCGACCGCGAGCGAGTCGTACGCCGGAAATGAAAAAAGACAAAAAATCGTGGATGCTCACACAAGAAAGCGAAACACAGATCCCAAAAGAAAGAGAAGAAAAGAAAGACTTGTCCAGTGTTAAGTTGGCTTGTGTATTCAGCGGGGCCGTTCCTTGGAACGTTAGTCAACGTTAACTGGGATTTGATCTGATTCTTCTTTTATTTTTTCAGAGAACCGGAAACGAAGCCGGATACTGGAAGAGCTGGAATCGGACCCCTAACCGTGGAATCACCGAAGCCTCAGTCAACTTTAACTAACATTTCCGGGGAAGCGGCGCTATATCGAAGAAAAAAAAAAACACGAGTAGCACACACTGCAATTAGCGCCGCACATCTTCGATCACGTCCACTCCGAAAGCAGCGCGGCTCGCCGTCAACTTCCGCTTCAAGTCTGCTGACGAGCGCCTCTGAACGCGCCAAACGCACACATATACGTACATGCAACACCTTAGAGGAAATGAATGGAAAAGAAACAAAATTGGAAGGTAAACAAAAAAAAATAAGAGTTGAAACACAAGAGAAGGAAAAAAAAGGAAAAGAAGTAACACGATGGTGAGACAATCGAGAGAAGCGTATGACGGCAGCCAAAACGGTCGTAATCGTAGTAACGTCCATCGAACGCCAAAGCCATCAACGTGTCTCTCGCGGGCTGCGACACAACACAACAACGATCAGCGTGAGGCCCAACCACGTGTGGGCGGTCGGTTGGGTTGTCGCGCGTGAAACGGGATGCCCGTGTGTTTCACCGCGACATGCGACCCATTATTAGCGTCTCGCTTGACAGAGAGACAGACACAGAGGACAGACGGGAGGTGGTGACATCAGGAGAGGCGATACGATCGGATAACACGCGTGCGATCGTATCCCGCGGTACACAGGATCACAAAGAGAAAGAAAGACAAGTGGTGCTACGGTGGTACAGAAAGAAAAAGAAAAAAGAAAAAAAAAAGAAGAGAGACAGAGAGAACACAAAAGGAACAAAAAGAGGAGGCGTTGTATAATTAGCTGCCGCAATAGTGACAATAATCATGGCGATGCAAATTGCTCGACGCCGATATATATACTTGGCTGCTGGTTTTCGATAGTTGTTTTTTTTTTGTTTTAATTTGTGGAGGATACTTCAGAATCAACCACAAATACGGGTGTCGCATGTAATGATATATATAATAAGCACACGGGCGAAAAATATTAATCGAAACTCGCAGTCCGCAAGCACTTACTTGTTAAACAAAATGCAGACATAGTGAGACGTGTGTAGAGAGACAGATAAGTAGTAGTAGAAGTAGTAGTAAGTAGTAGAAGAGAGATAGAGAGATAGAAAAAGAGAGATAGAGATAGAGAACACAAAAGGCAAAACTGAAGAGGTCTGCTTGTAGGAAATCATAGTACATAGTACATATCGATCAAAAATAGTGATCGGCAAAAAAGTAAATCAGAATATATCAGAGGAGAAAAAAGGAAAAAACGATGAAAATATATATACGTATAGATAAATATAGAGAGAAACGGTTAATCAGATTATTATTTAACACGGTCAAACAATGATCAAACTTGCGGATGACAGTGGACTTGCGGACTAACCATGTAGTAATCCTGAGAAGGGGATCTGCCTGTCACAGATACATTCTGCACCAGAGTTCTATTGCTCGTCTGAAAGTAGGTGACACATCCAGTTTTACATCATTAGCATCACGTGACATTCCATAGGGGATATTTTGTATTTTTTTTTTGTTTGTTTGTTTGTTTCTTTTCTTATATCTCTTTTCTGTCTTTCTTAATTGTCTGTTCGATTTCTGTCCGGTTTGGTTTTAATTAAAAGCCGTTTACATAGATAGATATAGATAGATATAT